GGGGCAGTCACGTGAGCCGTGGGCACCGTCCTTGTCCTGGAGTGGTGAGGTGTCCCCAGCTGAGCCCCACTCCCTGACGGGTCCATGCAGTTCAGGTTGGGACCTCCTGCTCTGCTAAGACACACATATAGACGTGTGCCCGGAGCAAAGGGTTTACCGATCAGGTTTAAAACATTTAGAAGCGGTAAAATGACAAATCTTGCCTTTTACCAGCTCACATTACACATCCATGTCTCAGATAGCTTATATAGTTGTTACATTGTCTTTCACACAATTTCTTTGTTCTCTCAGTTTTAATATAAATCTGGGGCAATTTAAAATTCAAAAGTAAGCCTGGACCAACTTTTGCAGCTAAATGGTAAGATTGTTCATTTTTGTTCGTCACACAGCAGATACTTCCTGAGAGGCCACTGTGTGCCAGGTACTGCTCTAAATACAGTAGGAACAGAGCAGAATTCCTTCTTCTGTGGAGTTTACATGAAGGGGAGGCAGGCACAGAAAGTCAGTATGTGGCTTAAAGTCCAGTGGTGAGGATCTGAGTGCAGGCTGCAGGAGAGGACACGGTGCTGGGGAGAGACGGTTGGTCCGGGAGGTAATGTTGGCACCGAGGCCTGACCGAGGTGTAGGAGTGAGCCAGGAGGCTGCTGGGATGGGGGCCCCCCGACCAAGGGACCTGCTGGGGTAGGGGCTGACGGGTGGGGCAGACCCCTCTGGCAGGGCACTGCAACAGCTCTGAGTTCAGATGAGTGAAGGGTGCTGCTGCAGCCGGCACGTCAGATGCTCCCTGACATCCCGTTGACCGCGCTGCGTGCGCCAGCACTGAGTCACGTCCTGGCGTGAATGTAGAGTGAGATGGTTATGACTCCTCTCTGAGAGTAAGAAAAACAGATTAAACTGTTTTCCTGAAGATTGAATGACTTGTTATTGTAGCTTCTCTTGTTTAAGATCACATTTAAGCCTTAGGGCTATCAGTTAAAATCAGGGGGCCTTGCTGGAAATTTCTGACAGTTGAGAATTTTCCCCCTCTGCTTCCCGCTGCTATGTCTTCCTTGTGCCTCCTGTCCCTTCCTTGAGGGGCATGACTCAGGTAGTGGACATGGTTGGAGACAGACATTTAAGGAGGTAAGGAGAAGTGTGAGGTGAAGGAAGATAAGACAGACCAGCCCGGTCACATGGCCAGGCCGCTCCCCAGCTCCCGCCTGGGCCTCATGCCTTCTCTTGGAGCTGACTGACCCCAGAGCCTGAGCTGTCCCTGACCCTTGGCCTGGCTGTCTCTGATTGCATCTTGCCCTGACCATGGCCTCCTGGGCCCAGTACAACGTTGTGCCTTGTGGCCTCCGTCCCGTTCCCCTGTGCTCATCACCAAATGCCAGGTCCTGAGCGGGTGTCCTTGTGGTAACCACCCCGTCCCCACATCACTGGTCCGGGTCCCCAAAAACTGGAGGGGCGGGCCGGCGCCCAGGGACCAACCAGCCGCTAAGCTGCCCCTCGGTCCCTGGGGGCCACAGTCCTGCGCAGGAATCTCAGTGAGGTGGACGGATCTGCAGTCAGCGCCTTTCATGCTGTGTGTTTGTTTAGATGGTGCCAACTGGCTGACTTTTTTCTGCCAGCCGGTGAAGAGCTGGAATGGACTGATCCTCCGAAAGCCCATAGATATGGAGAAGCGCGAATTGATACAGAGGCAAGAAGCCACCCTGTTAGATCTGCGCAGTTACCTGTTCTCTCGCCAGTGCACCCTGCTCCTCTTCCTGCAGAGGCCATGGGAGGTGGCTCAGCGCGCCCTCGAGCTGCTGCACAGCTGTGTGCAGGAGCTGGAGCTCTTGGACGTGAGTCGTCTCTTTCCCAGTCTGCCCCTTCCTGACCGTGACCCGGAACTCTGAACCTTCGGTCCTGACGTTGAACTGTGTGTGCTTAGGAAAGAGTGTTCTTTCTGAATGTCCTTCACTTTTTGCTATATCATTTGCATAGCTACTCTGTACTGATTCATGAATTGCTTGAAAATGTAACTTCTGCTCTCAGCATGTGGAGTTCACGTTGGCCTGGAACGAGCCTCTTAGGTCGGTTTCTTAATGTAATTTTTTAAAGTAACTTTGGCTTATTCTCTGGGAGCTGGTCTTCACTGACGAGGATTACTCGCCCGATGGACACGTAGGATTAGGTTTTGTAGGTGGACACTGATTTGATTTTAGAACTGTCTTCTCAGATAAGTGGTTGAAGGTACCCATGTGAGTGGCACACAACACGCTGTGGACGGTGATGAGTAGCATCAAGTATACTGGAGACACGTTGTGAACACGTGTGTGCATGTGTGGGCGAGAGAAGCCAGTTAGTGAGGCCTAAAGCAGTTTATTTGTAGTGAAATACTTGCCTTTAAAGAGTGATACCTCCCGGGCTGCTGAACTCTTTTACTGCCCGTAGGATCAGACACACTTAGTGAGGCCAGGGAGCTTCTGTGACTGTCCGGTCTGGGGGGCGCTCACCTTTTTTATTTTAGTGACCTCTTTACCCAGAAGAATATACAAAGTGTTACACACGGAACGTGCACACGGAGTGTCTTGTGCCATTTCGCAGGACTCACAGGCACCCCCGCCCTGTTCCCCGGCTGAGAACTGCGCGAATGGTCTAATGCCACTGTGCAAACGGGGACAGTGGGTCTGGAAGTGGTTAAACGGCTTACCAGTAAGTAACACAGCTGTCCCTGAGCCAGGTCACCCTGCCGCCCTCCACTCCTGGCTGCCAGCGGCAGTTACGGGAGGCCCAGTGTGAGCAGCGGTAGGGAGGGTCTGCACAATTTAGAAACTCCTGCTGTGTGTTCCCTGGACAGCTAAGTAACAGGCTCGACCCTGAGGAGACGTAAACGCTTCTAAAAACCCAAGTGAAGAGAGATTATTTTAATGTCTAAAAATGAAGTGTCTTGCGTAGCTGAGTCAAAAAATTGAGAATTTGACTTTTTATCAAATTATTTTTCTTCCTCGGACATCTGATCAAGCACATGAGGAGAAACAACATTTTCCAGCCAGTGGATTTTGATCACCTGCTTTAGCTGCTCCGCTCTCTCCGTGCTGACTGGGGAGGGGGCAGGTCTCACTAATAGGGCAAGGCTGCCTGTGTTCGGGGGTGCCCAGAGATTTCACTGTTCACACTGGGCACTTTCAAATTGACCCCAGGGGGGCGTCTTAGGAAGGACGCAGCTTGGGGCAGGCGTGGGAAACTGTGGAGGGTGGTGTGGAGCCGGTCTCCTTAGTGCTGGGCCCAGCTCCTCACAAATTTGAGGATTTAAGAAACTTTTTGAG